CCGCGATTGAAGCCAGGGCGCCTGTGAAGGCAGAAACCCGAACTCGCCAGTTCCACATTGGGTCATCGCTTGTTGGCTACACCTGCTCTGTCTGCGACATTCTGCGACGATGGGAATGCCTCAGCCTTATCCAACAAAGCCGTAAGACCGCACACAATCCAATAAAGGGGTTCCATGCAAGGCTGTTGACCCTGGTTTCAGGTTCAGATGATAGTGTTCAGGGTCACTCAACCTTAGCTTAGAAGGCCATAGCCCAAATGGTCAAGCCTGCGTGAAAGTAGCCTTCAAAGCTCCAACGTGGACCCAACGCCCTGAAACTTGAAAAAATCTTACATCCTAAGCCCACTAAACCCTAAGCCCAAAACCCTAAACCTTGAACCCGAAAAGCCCTAAGAAACCCTAAACCCAGAACCCCAAACCCTGAACCCGAAAAGCCCTAGAAACCCTAAGATCCATCAGCCCTGCAAGCCCTTCACTCTCCACCCTAGGTTTAGGGTTTAGGGTTTAGGGTTTAGGGTTTGGGGTTTAGGGTTTAGGGTTTAGGGTAGAGGCTCGTGCCCGCAAACCCCAAAAAGGACGGCCACTTTTCTCAACAAGACAGAATCTTCAAGTATAGAGGCCTTACTAAAGCCCTTCTAGAACTCTTATAGTCGCTTTTGTTCTGCCCCTTATAGAAACCGTTATCGTAAACCTCATAGTAACTCTCGAATCCTTTCAGGAATCCTTCTAGCATACCTACTAGAAGCCCGTTAACCTTCTAGCACCCTTTTACCCTCAACCCTAGACCCTAAAGTATACTTAAGGCCACTACACTTTAAACCCTAAAACCTAAACCCTAAACCCCAAACCCCAAAATATATAACCTTGTAGTACCTCCCAGATGCTGCTGCCCCGTTTCAGGCCAACTGTGAGGGCCTCCGGGAGGCGAAAAATGTGTTGGCAAAGAAGCTTTGGGCTATGGGATGAGGGGGTTTTGGGGGGTTTCGGGGTTTTGGGGGTGTTGGGGGGTTTGGGGGGTTTTGGGGGTTTGGGGGTTTTGAGGGGTTTGGGGGTTTTGGGGGTTTCAGTTTGGGGTTTGGGGTTTGGGGTTGATGGTTCAGGGTTTGAGGTTTGGTTCAGGGTTTGAATTTTGGGGGAGTTCGGGGCTTAAGGTTAAGGGTGCAGGACTTCAGCAGTCATGTTATGGCAGTGTGCATGCCGTTCTCACGAACACAAGTAACGACGCCCTCACCTTCCGAAACCCTCATGCAGGGTGACACATCATTGTGCAAGGAGCCCCAAGCTTCGAATGCTGCAAGCTGGAGGTATTCAACCAAAGATCCCGCACGCCCCGAATTACCAGTTCAACCCTCCGGGGTTGGAGGTATCTTGGACGGACAGGAAGTAGGGTTCCGTTTGGGAAAATGGGGGCCAGATGGATGGATACACGAACTTGAAGCGAACCTTTGCAATCAACACCTTTGTTACCATGCGCCTAAACCCTAAACCCTAAACCCTAAACCCTAAACCCTAAACCCTAAACCCCTAAGGCCCTAAATCCAAACCCCTAAACCCCTAAACCCCTAAGCCCCGAAATTAAACCCCTAAATCCTAAACCCTAAACCCTAAACCTGAACTTAAGCTTTGGATCCCAAAGCCTGAAGCTGCAAACCCTCTGAAACCCTGACGCCCCAAACCTGTGAGTCCAGGACGGGCGAGTCTAAAGCCTCAAACTGAAAGCCGCTTAGCCTTAAATCCCACACCCTTCAGCTCTAAACCCACAAACCCTACAACCACAAACCCTAAACCCTTCACCCTATATCGCCCCACACCACAAACCGTAAAGCTTTGAACCCTAAACCGCCTAGAGTTAAGCCCTAAACCTGCCTCGAACCCCAAAGCCAGCAGGAGTTGGACGCAGTGCTCTTCCGCCGCCTCCTTGAGGAGACAGCGCAGCCTAACACTTGTAAAGGATACTGGGAGAGAGTTGCTTATTCTAGGGAATTGAAGGTTTTAGGGAATTCAGTGTTTTAGTATTTAGGGGTCTATTGTAATTACATTAGGGATTTAGGGGGTTTTGAGGGTTTTGGGGATGTAGGGTTTCGGGATGGGGTTGGGTCTCAGACTCAGATCAGGAGTTCTGGGCTTTCTTGTTGGCTGTCCTTGATCTAGGCAGCTTTGCCCTTAGTTCCCGAATACCAAACCTTTAAAATGTGTTGGTTCTTGTAGTTCAGTAATCTGAAAGACAGACCTTCTATTTCCCTGGCTCAGTAAGTACACTTCAGCAAGTATGCATCACGTAGATTAACAGCACATTGTGACGGTTTGCGTTGAGGAGGTTCCAGGTACATCGACTTCTCGAAACGAATCCGTGGAACCAACATGAAACCTAAAAACCCCCAGCCCCGTACACCTCAAGCCCCCAAACCCTAAACCCCAAGCCCTAAACCCTAAACCCCAAACCCTAAGCCCTAACCCCCAAGCCCTAAACCCTAAACCCTAAACCCCAAACCCTAAATCC